GGCCAAATATTTCTTAGACACACGGGGATTGAGACGTGGAGACAAACGTTCATCAGTCTAAACAGAAACATTGCACTCTACTTCCAGTCTGGCAGAAGTTGAGCAGCATCACTGACTTTCTGCTCAAGTGAGCACTCACTCCCACTCTCTCCAGGTGAAATGTTTTAAGAAGATGCTGCGGGAAGGTAAAGCTTTATTTACACTCAAGAAGCTAATAAAAAAGGGTGGGGTTTAGTTTTCATTTCAGTTTTAAGTGAAACCTTAAAGACCAGATAATGTTTAAGCAGTAATAAACAAATGGCTAGAAGAGAGAATAAAATGCTTGTACAAACTTTGGAATTGATAGTTTTCAGAAATTTGGTAGCCATCTTCAATATTACCATCCAGTATGAGTCAAAGGGAGTTAATGGACCTAGCCTCTTTCACCATCACTGGGATATCCAAACGTCTAAAAAAGAATCAAATGTCTACTTGCTGGCCTTTTTCTTTTCCCCTTGTAGCCAATTGCTCTTCCTAATGAAGAGGATAATTTGTGGATTAAATCGCTATTTATTTCAATGTATTCCTGGGAAATGAAGCCTCTAATCCATAACAGTAATAGGTCATTGAAGGGTGGCTTTCGTGTACTGGAGCACTTCACACCTTCTAGGTCAGGCACTTGTGATGCATGTCCTTGTGCAAAAGCTTCTGTAGGATGTTTTACTTCACTCCTTAGACAGTGGCATTAAATTTGACAGCAAAATTGCTTCCACCCTCTTTATATCAGTAACTACATAAAGGTAGGTTAGAGCACATGGTTTTAATTTAGCCTTTAGTGGTTTTATTTGGCAAGGAAAAAAAAACTGTTGAGCACTAACCTTGAATTAGAAGCTGACCTCGGAATTAGTCAGCCTTTTTCTTGTAAATGCATTTTGTAGAGTATAAACATGAACCATCTATTTACATAACATTAGTGACAGTCAAATGATTTCTTAGGAGCATTAACGCTGGAAATCCCAAACACTCCTTCCTTGCTGGAGAATGGTTTATAGCTCGTGAGAATAATCTCTCCAGCAAGTAACTGCAAACAGAAAAGACTGATCTTTTCCCAATCGAATTTAGGATTTCTCTAGTATTTCACTAAGAAACCCCAGATAATAATTATAAGCTGCTCTTAAATGAAATGCAGGTCACCTCCCAGGGTGCATGTGGAAAGCTCTGACTGTGCGGATGGTGGTGCAGCCTCCTCCTGTACTATGGTGGCTTTATCCACTCTGCTACAGGGATGTCATGCAAGAGCAAAGAACAGCCTGAGTTCTACTTGACACTGGGGAGCCGTGGTGCTGAGTACCAGTGATGGCTCTGAGGGATGTCAGTCGACAGCAACCCCATGGTATGCCTAAGTGTCTTCACCTGTACTGTTCCCAGTCTGCTGGGAAGCCAAGGCCCTTGCAGCAAGGAGCAAGGGATTTCAGGCCTTCTGAAGCTGAGGTCCTACTTCAAGTAAGGGAGCCTCCAGCAGGTCTGCAGACCCCTTCTGCTTTCCCAGAAGGAGCAGCACAAGAAGCAGCCTAGCAAACTGATGGGTCCTGCACTTATGCTGCTGACTTTGACACATGTGCAAGCACTGCGTCCTAACCGAGCTCATGGAAATATCTTAAAGGTTTTTAGTTTTTTTTCTCACTTCCAGGTAAAATGAAAGCCATGAAGTGCCACCAGGTTCTGAAGTTCCTGTGTTTCTTTGACTGTGAGCTTTACTGTTTTTAAGAATAAAATTTTATAAAGTGGACATATTAAAAATGATGAAAACAAATCTGAAAAAGATCCAGATAATTTGTGTGAAATATATTTCAGGCCGTGGGGGCGTTTAACAGGTTTTCAGTGGCAGAAAAGTAACTTGGCTCATTTTAGTTTATTTTTTGCCCACTTGGAGGAAAGAGTATTTTGTGGTTGTCATAGCTTTTTTTGTCTTTATTGTTGAATGAACAGCGGAACATACTTTCTTTTTCTGAAACTGTGTTTTCAGAAGGTAATTTTTTTTATTATTGCAATAGGAGTACATACCATAGCACAGCACTTCTAGCTTGCTCCACATTTATTGGCATGCTCTGCCATAATATGCCATAATAATTCTCTGAATTAAGATGGTATTTTTCATGCTTTCAGCAACAGCAGCAAGGTACTCTGCTCTTTGCTGTGTGTTGTTATTATTAGCTCACTCATGATCGAATTCCAGCCTCAGGCACTGGTTGTGTGATGGGGCCGAGCTCTGATGGCAGGTTTCAGCCCATGTTTTCTCTGGCTATGTTTGCCTTACCTAATTCATGATAGGGAACACAAAGACTAGGTTGAACAGAAGGGAAGTGCACAGCCATTTTAGGTGTCCTCAAATTATAGCTTATGACTTCTCTCCAAACTAGAGTAAAGTGGGTTCTCTTTAACATAAAGGGTGGGAAGAGTTTTACTCCAGGTAGAGGTTTATCAGTCCCAGCACCCTCTCCAGTAGGTGTGAATATGAAAGAAAGTATCTGATGTCTTCTCAGATAACCAGCAGCACACCACTTTCCCCTGTCCAGCACTGTTTTGCTCGCTAGCATCCTCCATGGGGGTGCCACTGGGCCACTTGTGCTTGGCATTTGGGGAGCAGGCTGCAGGAGGCACAGACAGCATTTCATTGCTTTTCAGTGTTGTCAAACACTCAGTTTGGAGTGACCCTGCTGCCCTCTTGTACAGCATAGAGCCTTTCACGAAGGTTTAGCACAAATACTGTCGCTCACTACTAATAAAATAAGGCAAACGCCATCCTGGAGGAGAGTGTTAGTGAGTCCCAGTTGAGGGTGTGGTCCATTTCTCCTGGCAAACAGACATCCAGAAATGTCCATGTAATGATTCTTGGAGAGAGAGCAGGAACATTGACTCCTGCAGGTGTATCTCCTACCTCTTCAATAAGGCTGGGGCTGGAAAAGCCTGTCCTTTCTCAGGCCTCCTTCCTCTGGTGGTCTTCAATGTGCAGCAGAGTGTCCTGTAAATAAAACAGCTCCCTCCAGGACCAGAAGCCAGACAGAGAGGTGATCTGCATTCATTATGCTCTTGCAATAGTATCATAGAACCATAGAATGGTTTAGTTTGGAAGGGACTTTAAAGAATCACCTAGTTCCAACCCTCCTGCCATAGGCAGGGACACCTCTCACTAGACTGGGTTGCTCAGAGCCCCATCCTACCTGGCCTTAAACAATTCCAGGTTTGGGACATCAACAGCTTCTCTGGGTAGCCTGTTCCAGTGCCTCACCACCCTCACAATAAATAATTTCTTCCTAATATCTGATCTAAACCTACTCTCTTTTAGTTTAAAGCCATTCCCCCTTGCTCTATCACTACATGCTCATGTAAACAGTCTCTCCTCGTCTTTCTTCTAGGCTTCCTTCAGGTACTGTGAGGTCACAATTAGGTCACCCTGAAGTCTTCTCTTTTCCAGGCTGAACAAGTCCAATTCTCTTAGCCTTTCCTCATAGAAGAGGTGCTCGCTCCATCCCTCTAATCATCTTGGTGGCCTTCCTCTGGACTTGCTCCAACCAGTCGATGTCCTTCCTGTTTATATTCATTTTGGTCATTTACTCGTTGTGATCAGACATGAAAGTGGTGTCACTTCAGAAAGGGGAAAAAGCAACTCCTTCACCTCATTTTAGGATGACTGTAGGGAATGTAGTGCTGTGTAGCTAAGGTACATGTCCTGCTGAGGCAAGAAAATATTTCTGATCTTCACTAAAGCCTTCTGAACCTCCTGGTCCTGAGCTTGGATGCATCCGGGAAATTAAGTATTGCTGCCTATTTCTCCTCAGCAGGCCACTCTTGAGCTACACAAGGAGGCTTGCTGGCTGCATAGTCCTTTTCTGCTAAAAGATCTCCTTCTCCAAAGGAAAAGAATTGAATGAAAATTTTAATGTGTTTAAAACACAGTTCTCTTGGAAAAAGACTTTACCTGGCCCATCAAGGACATTTCTATTCCTGAATAAATTACAAGTCACAGAAAACAAAATTTTCTAGGCAGCATTGGATATAAATAAAGAGGAAAAGTTCTTGTCATTTGCCTGGCTTGCCTTGTGTCCAAAATTAAAGTGTTCTGCTTGTTCTGCTTTCCAATGGTAAGATCTCTTGCACCAGCTATGTTCTTATCTAGGAAGGAAAAAAAGAATTCTTAGCAAGAATCTCGCTATCTGTCTCACCAGTACCATCACTTAATTGGGCATTTTTGGTAGTAGATCATTTTTTCTAAGCTAAGAAAGTGAAGTGTTGTCTTTGTGGCCCACATGACGAGCAGGAGCACGGCACAGAGGGGATCAGGTGAGCTGGAGTATCTGCTGTCATGTTTCTCCCCGTGGCTTTGGAGGGCAATGGTTCCTCCTAGAGCCAGCCCATGGCTGCCACCAGGCTGCCCTTTGCTTCTCTGTAGCTCCTTCAGGTTACAAAGCTTTGAATTTTCTTCCAGCTCTGTGGTGGGAGACACTGATGACAACTTATTTATGCTCCTGTTGTTTCTAGAAACCTCCAATTGGGTTCCTCCTGGCATAGTTTAGCACGCCTACTGCCTGCCAAATATTTTTTTATAATCCTAAAAGCCTTTCTGTTGCTAGGTGGAAATTTTTTCTGCCTTTCAGATATAAAGTGACTAATGGGATACATTTCATAATACATCAGTAAGCATACTTGTTATTATCATATTTTAGTGCCCTTTAAAAATTACCAACCTGTACTGGAAGGATGGGATAGTATGTAAATTGTACATCATAAAGACAGTAGGGCAAATTCTTTGTTCTTTGATAATCACATTTAATAATGTTAAGAAGGTTTATTGCATTCAGGAGATGACGTTAAAAAGTATTGGGGGGGGTTAACCAATGTTTTTCAGGAGATGAACAAATGTCCAACAGCAAAGATTAGGTGTTAGGACTGATGTGGAATTTAGAAGCTGTAAACCTCATCTTGCTCTGACACAGATCTCTCTCACGTTTCCATGTTCACAGGCTGGGAACACAATTTCTCCTATCCCAGCTGGATAGCTGCTGGTTTTTTATCTCCTGCTGCTGCCTCCTCCAGTTCTGTATTAATAGACAAGACAGAACATCAACCCACAGCAAAGCAAATGAATAGAGAAGTCGTGGACAAAAAGGAGTAGTGGACACTGACATTGGACAGCATCTTGGGATAGCATTGAGTGTACATCCAAAAAAAAAAGTGAGGAAGCCATTGAATCAATAAATGTCATTACAATTTTTGTCCTTTAGGTTTCTGATAAAAACTTTCTGTGCCTGTGACACAGAAAGAGTCATTCTAGGTCACTCTCAGTCACAGGTGAGATAGTTGTAGCTTCTGAAAACCCACAGGAGCCGTGCTAAAAGAAACAAACTTGGAAGACTCATCTATGGCTTAACAACACAAAGTATTTTCACTTATGCAGGTTCATGGATTCTAGAATAAATAAGACTTACATTCTTCTTGACTACTCTGGGGACTATATGTATGGTATGGCATGTTCCCTGAGTTACTGCAAAAGAAAGAGTCCAGCTCTATACTGGAGAGCCCATCTCGACCTGTACTGCCATACTTCTCCTATTTTTGTATTCTTAAATGATCCATCAATTGATAATTTCAAGTGAGAATTTTGCATTACAGAGATTTCTTTGTAAAAGTACATTTAAAACACCAGGTGATTTACGTTAGCTACAGTGTGATGGGTTGGGGTAATAAAGACATAAGGTTTTTGTAAGTATATTGAAGCTGTTAGAGAATAAAGCTTGGTTATAATATGATCCAGTCGGTTCTGTTATGCCTTCTTACACAGTATTTGTAAGTGAATTAGCAAAATGGTTTGTGAAGATTCCTCTTGAGCATTTGTTCACTCTTGTTAAAGTGATACCGAGAGGTCTCCTTGTAATTTTTAATCATTCCCTAGCCCTCCAGTTGAAGATATCAGATTTATTTATTGTAACTGATAATAATGACGAGAAAAATGAACTCTGAACCAGGGTTTGATTAAAAAAAAAAGTGTTCAAATCTGGAAAACTCTAGATTACAATAAGTCTAGAAAGACTATACTAAAAATTGCGAAGAAAATTTAATTTTAGTAACATAGAATAATTTGGGTTGGAAGGGACCTCTGAAGCTCATATGGTACAACCCCCTGCTCAGAGCTGGACCAGGTTTTATGCCGGGTTGTACATTCAGTCTCCACAGTACCTTGTTCAACTGAGTTTGAATATCTAAAAAAAACTGAGATTTTTTTTATGTATTCACTTGTGCAAATAATTTGCGAAGAAACAATTTACTCCTGGTGTTTCAAATAAGGGTTGTCTGACAGTGTAGGAATTTTGTTTTCAATTGCAAAATTTTGTTTACCTTTAAAATTCCTTGACACAGCTGAAGAACAAAAAGAAATAAAAAAAAAATCATTTGTAATCCTGAAGAAATAAAAGCATAGAAAAAGTCAAATCTCATCATTATTTGTAAGACAAAATTGAGGTTATGATGACACTCTTAACTGTGAAAAATGGATTTCTAAGTATGAATTTAGATACATGAAAAAACTTCTATGCCAGTCATTGGAAAAAACCTCAAATAAAAGTCCTTCAAATGTATTAAATGTGCTGAGTACTTTCACAGGTTTTTAATTTTTAACCTTACATGTCCTTGGCAGAACTCATTGCCTATCATGGACTCATTATAATGACTCAAACCTGCATTAGGAAGAGGACTACACAGAGGAAAGGTTTCTTTTCTCTATGTTTTTAAAATTTTTTCCAAATCTATATAAAAAAATACTGAAAATTATTGCTGAAATTTTGAGAGTTTTTATAAGACATCAACTATCTCAGAAGAATCTTAAAAGATATTTCAAACAAAAGTATCTGAATTAGATTTTACCATCCCCTTTGTTTGTTTTTATTCAAGTTCTGCAAATGTTAGTATAAACTTTTTTCTTTTTTGACTAAAATATTTTCATTTTAGCTGAATGTCCAACTTCATCTCCAACACTCCAACACCATAAGGATGAAGGGATATTTATCAGCCAACTTGCACATTGTGGTCCACAATACAGTGTTCTGCAGACATGGAAGTCTTAAAACTATCACTCTCGTTCTTCCTTACACTTCCTTACACTTACTCTCGTCCATTATAACTCTCATCTTTCATGCCACAGAAAATGTTAATAATGCAAGGGAGATTCTGCATTTTTGCCTGTATCAGGTTGTGTTACCCACACACATTTGGAAGGATGAATAAGCAGAAAATGTTTCAATTGTCCAGGCTTCCCATCACATTTACGTTTATAGTAATGCCAAAGAAACATGTAACTTGTGTAACAAAATGTTACAGCTTGAACCACCTTTCTCAATATTTCTATACAATTCCTCTCTTATAAACCCATCCTACCACAAAACCTCAGAGGAACAAGTAGGTCTTGAACTAAAGACCAGTCCAAAACATTTTGAAGGCTAGAAGGAGAGAAACAAGGCATGGGATCAGGGCCATCTCACATGAGAGCTGAAGCTCGGCACTGGACCAAATCCATGACTGCTACAAGTTGTCTCGGCTCCACTGGCTGTCTAAGCATGGCAGTTTCCACAGATTGAGAATGCCAGTGATCAGCACTCTAGTTTGGGGACTGCTAACAAAAATGCAGGCGCTGGACCAGATCTTTCCAACAAATTCAGATGCACAGCTCACTGTACAGTCAGAAAGATCTACATGCCCACCTCCTGTTGTTTCTGCCACCTGTTTTAGCAGAAACAATAGAATAGGGTTTGTGTGTGTGCCTGTGTGTATTGCATAATTCACGATCCAAACTGAATTCAAAATATTTGGATGGCGGCCCGCCCCACACTTGCTTGGTGGAGCTGGAAAGGCAATGCCAAGAGCAGCACCAACGGCTGGCAGCCAGGGTGCTCTGACCCCCAGGCTGGAGACACAGTCCAGAGACTGTGCAAGTAAAAAGGGTCCTTTTTTTTTTTAAATCAGCTCTGTAGGCAGCTGAGGTTCTTTTTTTTTTTTTTTTAAATCAGCTCTGTAGGCAGCTGAGGTTTGTGTTAGTGAAAGCAAAGCAGGGCATAGCTTTCAGCCCAGACACAGACCACCTCTCCTACTAGTGCTCGGCAGGTCATTCATTTTTTCCAGCATTTTATTTTGGTGGAGACCAGGAAGCATTTGACAAGTCACTGCTGTTTTACAGGTGGGAGCTCAGCTCAACCACACCTGAGAGCAGTGAGGTAAGGACTTGTAGTGTTTTATGTACTACTGTAAATATTCCTTTGCCTTTCAGTGCTGCTTGCAACCCAATATTTCATCTAAGCTGGTATAATACACTTGCATCATTAGCAACAATTACCAGTCATTGTTCCATTTGGATTTCTCTTGCTAATTAAATTCACTCTGACAATCTGTATGGCCCATAAACATAACCCCAAAATCTTCCCACAGTGAAGAGAGTGGAATATGAATAATCAGTTTAATACTTGTATTTGACTTAGCTTCTCAACACCAACAGGTTAATCAACAGCCTGCCAGGGCTCCCTTGTGGGAGAGTCCCACTCTGCTCCTGACTGCTCTCGCAAGAGGAGCCAGAGCTTGCCTGACTGCTTTGCCAGGCCTGGAAATGCTGTGTGGGTCTTACACAAGCTTTAAGAGCCACCACTTTTAATTCTTGCAGTTTTGCATGGGCATCCAGCTCTTCTCTTTCTCATGTACCCTTCTCTCACAATCTGCCTTTCCCTCTCACTTCTCACTTTAGAAAGGCAGCAGTGATGGAGACAATATGAACTCCTAGAGAAGCTGAAGAAATTCTGGAATGTAACCTTGCAGTCCCTCTGCAAGGCACAGCCCTGCAGCCCTTTGCTGCAGGCACTTCTGCTCCATTTGATGACCAGAGTATTTGGGCAAGAAACCTGGGCTGGAAGCCATTTCTTAGCTGCTTGCTGGGCCTTATCTGACAGTCCACAGCAACAGCCCCTCTCCCAGTGCATCTCCAACAAAGGCAGCAATGCATCTTTCAGACCCATGTTGCTCCATGTCTGACTGGCCTGAAGAATGGCTAGAAGGTCGGACTCTGCTCATTCCTGTTTGGTTAAACTCCACCTGGGGCACTCCTGCAAATTCTCTTCTCTTCAACATATGCATAAAAACTCCTGGTAAATGCCAGAGAGAGTAAGATGTAGTTGGTTGCTCTAGCTGTGAAATCACACAGACAGACAGTTGTTTTTATTTACTCTTTTCAGTTACTTTTCCAAGCTTCAGGAAAAATATTAAACCCAATGGAATTGCATGCAACTGCGACTGCTCCTCAGAGAATACCACTGCTGGAGTTGGACCCACAAGGCTACGGCTCCACTACCAGGCACTGGTGGTAGAAGGGACTTCTGGGACGGAGAGTGGAACGTTGCATCCAGGTTCATTTGGCACCAAAGCACTGGCAGGCACCACTGAGCTGGTCCAGCCTGGCCTTTCCTCCCTCCTCTACCCTACCCCCACTTATGCTACCTATTCCAGGGGCTGCTTTTGACCCTAATCCAAAGAAAATAGATGTGGATGTGCTAATGGCTGGCAACAATGAGGGCTGGCCTTAGGCTGGAACAGGCAGCGCTTGAATACTTGAGACTGCAGGAGGGTGCCTTTTCCATCGAACTCCGTACCCATCACCCCATGCATGTGCTCCAGGAACTTCATTTGCCTCCCAGGAAAGAGGATCTCTGGTCTCCTGGTCTCCCTTGCAGCTATTCTCTGCTGCTCTGCTCTTAATGCATCATTCCCAAAAGGAAGGGTGGGAAGGGAGGAGAGTTCATCAGGGCGCTAATTCTTCCTAATCACGACTGGAAATAGGTGCAGCCTGGGAATCAAGCTGGCAGCACACAACGCTCCTATGACTATTTAATGCTGATTTTACTTTTTCCTTATTCTTTTGCAAACTGATTCACTCACTGTTAATAACAAAAGCAGCCTCTGACATCAGTTTTCACCTGCATGACTCTTTGTCTTTTACTTGAATGTCATCCTCCTTTTATTACAGCCATTCTCAAGGTGCCCGGCTCATCCTGCCTGGCCTGCAAACCACCTCTGTGCCAGCGATGCGTCATGGCTTTGTGCAGCACATTTCATCAACACAGTGCTCACATGGGCCAGGACCATGTCATTAATGCAAACACTGAAGCAAAATTGGTCCCAAAACTCCTATTTGAAAAACTCTCCTAGATAACTCCTCCTGACCTGAGATATCCAGCATCAGCAATCATTGTTTCCTCTTCTTACCAGCAACGCAATTCCTCTACTAATCTATTTTGTCTCCAGCAACATCAGTGGTTTCTCACTTGACATCATAGCAAATACATTAAAGTAGTCTAGATAAAGGAAATCTGGCAGATATCACCTGTCTGGAAAAATAATTGTTTTATCAAAGAGAACCATCGGGTTAGTCTGGCAGGATGTACCTTTCATTGCATTTCATCCCATTTTTGATGTGCCTTTGCATTTTTAATTAGCCTTCAAGGCATGTTCCAAAGCCCTGCATACCAGTGAGTTCAGAGTTACAAGGACGATGATGGTTGACTGGATTACTTTTTAACTTGCCACAGGTGAACACATTGTAATGGATATCCCACAGTCATGGGGTCCTTCTCTGACTTGGCAGATGCATAAAAACAGTTGTTATTAGAGGTGCCACCTTACATGCTGGTCTTTCCAGAAATCCTGGACAGGCTCCCAAGAGTAACACTGCCTGCTCTTTGAACACACTAACAGTTCTATTTCCATATCCCTGTTCCCATTAACCAGCCTGCTTTTGCCCCTAGGATTTATCTTCCTTAAACCAGAGCAGAGGTAAAATACTCCTTTGATTGCAGGCCATGCCTAAATTATCTTTAATCTCATTTACTGCACTTTAGTCTGACTTCGCTTTTCTTCCTCTCTCACACTGAGATTTGAAGAAGTTTTTCCCATTTTTTCAGGAATACTTTGCAAGTTTCAGTTCAGCTTTGGTTCTGACACTCACATTGGTATTTCTTGACCTCTAAATGATCAAGTCCTCTTTCTGCAAGACTCTCCATGATTAACCAGAGAACTGAGCATCACAGGTACGTGGAGCAAGCAGGCAGGGTGCAGGATGCCTCACCTTCATGCCTGACTGTGCCTCTCCTGCACTCAAAGCTTCCACCTTCTCCACTAGAGCCAGCTTTGCTGTGAAACATCGCCCCACTTGTCAGTTTGCCCGTTGGCAAACTGAGTCTCAGACGCACAAGTATTTGTGTTTATTCCTCCATTTGCTTCAAACAGGGAGAGCTACTTAGTTCAAAGCTCTGCTCTGTGACTAGATACCTGGTAACTTAATTGCACATCAAAACAACATTGCCTTGTATGACTTCACTGATGAAGATGTTTGTTGGTTGTCAAATCCAAGGATATCTGGGCTCTACCACTGCTAACTTGAAGCATCAAGTAATGCAGTCTCCTCAGATTGCCAAAGCACTGAATGAAGACATGAATAATTTCCAAAAGAGTTTTTATCTCAGCCAAAAACATGAACAGCAGA